ACATACTTGTTATGTATAGGTCTCTCTCATACACATATACATATACATACATACATACATACACATACATACAATACATACAAACCTACATACACACACATAAGCGGACTCTAATATATAAACAATAGCTCACTAGTCAGGGATCGAACCCAGACCCAGGTGTGGGAAGAGGGAGTACCACGGCCCCACAAGGAGTAGACTTGTGGGTAATCAATCAAGGTAGGTTAGTGTTTGGTTGTCCTAGGCAATGGTAACACTCGTTCCCACGCTGGGGTCCTGGGTTCTGATCCCTGACTAGTGAACTATTACCGGTTTCTTGTGGGAGAGGGTAACACTGGATAACCTTGATGATCACAGTGCACCTCCCTGACACGCAACCAGCCCAACCCAACCCAACCTAACCCAACCAACCCAACCAACTTAACCCAACTCAACCCAACCCAACCAGCTCAACCCAACCTAACCTAACCAGCTCAACCCAACCTAACCCAACCAGCTCAACCTAACCTAACCTAACCTAACCAACTCAACCAACTCTAACCCAACCAACCTCAACCTAACCAGCTCAACCTAACCTAACCTAACCCTCCCAGACACGGGTAACCAGCTCAACCTAACCTAACCCAACCCAACCAACCCAACCAACTTAACCCAACCAACTCAACCCAACCAGCTCAACCTAACCCAACCCAACCGCTCAACCTAACCTAACCCAACCCTCCCAGACACGGTAACCAGCTCAACCTAACCTAACCTAACCCCTCCATGACACGGATAACCAGCTCAACCTAACCTAACCTAACCTCCCCAGACACGGGCAACCAGCTCAACCCCAACCCAACCCAACCCAACCAACTCAACCAACTTAACCCAACCAACTCAACCCAACCAGCTCAACCCAACCTAACCCAACCAACTAACCTAACCCAACCCAACCCCTCCCAGACACGGGCAACCAGCTCAACCTAACCTAACCTAACCCCTCCTGACACGGACAACCAGCCAACCTAACTCCAACCTAACCCCCTCCCCGGCACGGATAACCAGCTCAACCTAACCCAACCCAACCTAACCAGCTCAACCTAACCTAACCTAACCAACTCTCAACTCAACCCAACCAGCTCAACCAACCTAAATACAACCAACTCAACCTAACCCAACCAAGTCAACCCAACCCAACCCAACCTAACCCAACCCTCCCAGACACGGACAACTCCAACCTAACCTAACCTAACCCTCCTCGACACGGATAACCAGCTCAACTCAACCTAACCTAACCCCTCCCCTGACACGGATAACCAGCTAACCTAACCTAACCTAACCCCCTCTAGACACGGATAACCAGCTCAACCCAACCTAACCCCTCCCAGACAACGGCAACCAACTCAACCTAACCCAACCTAACTCTAACCTAACTACACTCAACCCAACCTAACCAGCTCAACCTAACTCAACCCAACCAACTCAACCTAACCCAACCAACTCCAACTCAACCCAACCTAACTCCAACCTAACCCTCCCAGACACGAACCGCTCAACCTAACCTAACCTAAACAACTCAACCTTCAATCTCTAACCAACTCAACCCTAACCTAACCTAACCTAACCTAAGACCTCCCAGACACGGGCAACCAACCCAACCTAACCTAACCTAACCAACTCAATCCTAACCCAACCAACTCAACCTAACCTAACCCAACCAACCTCAATCCATCCCAACCAACTCAACCTAACCTAACCCAACCAACTCAACCCAACCTAACCTAACCCAACCCAACCTAACCCAGACACGGCAACAAACTCAACCTAACCTAACCCAACCAATCAACTCAATCTAACCAACTCAACTCAAACCCAACCAACTCATCCTAACTCCAACCAACTCAACCCAACTCAATCCCAACCAACTCAACCTAACCTAACCTAACCAACTCAACTCCAACCCAACCAACTCAACCTAACTCCAACCAACTCAACCTAACCTAACTCAACTCAACCTAACTCTAACCAACTCAACTCTAACTAACCTAACTAGTCAACCTAACCAAATCCTCCCACCCAACCCAACTAACTCAGCCTTAACCAACCAATCAACTCTAACCCAACCTGCTCAATCCAACCTAACCAACTCAACCTTAACCTAATCAACTCAACCTAACTCCAACCAATCAACCTAACCCAACTCCAACCCAACCTAACCCTGGGGTCCAGGGTCAACCTAAGGAGGGAAAAGTGAGCTGTTATAGGCTTGGGTCATGGAGAGTAGAGGTCATGTAAGGCGGTCAAAGGTGTTAATAACTGTTGTGTGGTTAGGTTAGGTTAGGGAGATTGGAGTAGGTAGGGGTGGAATGAGTGGGGGTGGGTGAGGGGGTGCGAGGTAGGGGTGGAGTGGGGTGTGATGGAGGGGGTGGTGGGGGTGGAGGGGTGGGGTGAGTGGGTGTGGGAGGTGGGTGGGTGAGTGGGGGGGTGGAGGGGTGGGATGAGTGTGGGTGAGGTGGTGGAGTGGGTGTGGGGTGAGTGTGGGGAGGGTGTGGGGTGAGTGTGGGTGGGATGAGGTGGGGTGAGGGGTGGAGGGGTGAGTGGGGGTGAGTGTGGTGGGGAGGTGTGGGTGGAGTGTGGGTGAGTGGGGTGGAGGGGTGAGTGTGGTGGGGAGTGGGGTGGGTGTGAGTGGGTGAGTGGGTGGGGTGTGGTGGGTGGAGGTGTGGATGGAGTGGTGGGTGGAGGTGTGTGGTGTGAGGGTAGTGGTGGGTGAGTGTGTGGGTGAGTGTGATGGGTGGAGGGTGTGGGGTGAGTGGGGGTAGTGGTGGGGGGGTGAGTGGGTGAGTGGGGTGTGAGTGGGTGGGATGAATATGTGGTGGGTGGGTGGGGTGGGGTGGGTGGGAGTGTGGTGGGGTGAGGTGGGTGGGTGAGTGGGGGTGAGTGTGGGGGGTGGTGTGGGTGAGTGGGGTGTGGGGTGAGGTGGGGTGAGTGGGGTGAGTGGGTGGGGTGAGTGTGGATGGGTGAGTGGTGTGGGAGGTGGTGGTGGGTGGGTGGAGGAGGTGGGGTAGGGGTGGGTGAGGTGTGGGATGAGTGTGGTGGGGTGAGTGTGGGTGGTGAGTGGTGTGGGGAGGTGGGGTGAGGTGTGGGTGAGGATGGGTGAGTGGTGGGTGAGTGTGGTGGGTGAGTGTGGGTGGAGTGGGTGTGGGATGAGTGGTGTGGAGGGTGATGAGTGTGGGTAGGTGGTGGGTGAGTGGTGTGGGTGAGGTGGGAGGGGTGTGGTCAGCCAGCCGCGTCCGCCACACTCAGTGATCACATACAACTGAAGCCTAGTGACTGTTTTCAACCGCCTTCCTCCTACTGCCTGGCCTCTCACTACCTGGCCTCACCACTTGGCCTCACCACCTGGCCCTCACCGCCTGGCCTCACACCTGGCCTCACCACCTGGCCTCACCACCTGGCCTCACTGCCTGGCCTCACTGCCTGGCCCTCACCTCTGGGCTTTACTTTTGGCCCTCACTGCCTGGCCTCACCTCCTGCCTCACTGCCTGGCCTGTCACCGGCCTTTACTTCTGGCCTCTACCACATCGACTCTAGTACATCGCCCAATGCCTAACCTACCTGCCTCGTTACCTGACCTTCACACAGCCAGGTAAGGTACAGGTATGTAAGTTTCCTACCTGCCACATTACTTGACCTTCACACAGCCAGGTAAGTGTATTGTGGAATGGTTCTGCCACCTCACACAGCCAGGTAAGGTACAGGTAATGTAAGGTTCCTACCGCTCACATTCCTACTCACACAGCCAGGTAAGTGTACAGGTAATGTAAGTTTTCACCTGCCACATACTGACCTCACACAGACAGGTAAGTGTACAGGTAATGTAAGTGTTCCTATGCCTCATTACCTGACCTTCACACAGACAGGTAAGTATACAGGTAATATAAGTGTTCTGCCTCATTACCTGACCTTCATACAGCCAGGTAGTGTACAGGTAATATAAATTGTTCCTACCTGCCACATTACCTGACCTTCACACACCAGGAAGTGTACAGGTAATGTAAGTGTTCCTACCTGCCACATTACCTGACCTTCACACAGCCAGGTAAGTGTACAGGTAATATAAGTGTTCCTACCTGCCTCATTACCTGACCTTCACACAGACAGGTAAGTGTACAGGTAATATAAGTGTTCCTACCTGCCTCATTACCTGACCTTCACACAGCCAGGTAAGTGTACAGGTAATATAAGTGTTCCTACCTGCCTCATTACCTGACCTTCACACAGCCAGGTAAGTGTACAGGTAATGTAAGTGTTCCTACCTGCCACATTACCTGACCTTCCACAGCCAGGTGAGGTATGCAGGTAATGTAAGTGTTCCACCTGCCTCATTACCTGACCTTCACACAGCCAGGTAAGTGTACAGGAAATGTAAGTGTTCCTACCTGCCACATTACCTGACCTTCACACAGCCAGGTAAGTGTACAGGTAATGTAAGTGTTCCTACCCACCATTACCTGACCTTCACCAGGCAAGTGAAGTGTACAGGTAATGTAAGTGTTCTACCTGCCTCATTACCTGACCTTCACACAAGCCAGGTAAGTGTACAGGTAATATAAGTGTTCCTACCTGCCCACTTCCTGACCTTCACACAGACAGGTAAGTGTACAGGTAATATAAGTGTTCTACCTGCCTCATTACCTGACCTTCACACAGACAGGTAAGTGTACAGGTAATATAGTTCCTACCTGCCTCATTACCTGACCTTCACACAGCCAGGTAAGTGTACAGGTAATGCAAGTGTTCCTACCTGCCACATTACCTGACCTTCACAGGTGTTGACATAGATGAATCGAGTTTGTGTGTCAGTTCATGAAAATAATTCCAATGAAGGTAATAATTATCCTGAAACATGAGGGAAGCTGTGATCACACTGCCTCAAGCTGTGATCACACACCTCAAGCTGTGATCACACTGCCTAAGCTGTGATCACACTGCCTTAAGCTGTGATCACACTGCCTAAGCTGTGATCACACTGTGATCACACTGCCTCAAGCTGTGATCACACTGCCTCAAGCTGTGATCACACTGCCTCAAGCTGTGATCACACTACCTCAAGCTGTGATCACACTACCTCAAGCTGTGATCACACACCTCAAGGTCACACTGCCTCAAGCTGTGATCACACTACCTCAAGCTGTCACCCCAAGCTGGTCACACTACCTAGCTGTGATCACAAGCTGCGATCACACTGCCTCAAGCTGTGGTCACACTACCTCAAGCTGTGATCACACTGCCTCAAGCTGTGATCACACTACCACAAGCTGTGATCACACTACCTCAAGCTGTGATCACACTACCTCAAGCTGTGGTCACACTACCTCAAGCTGTGGTCACACTACCTCAAGCTGTGACCACACTACCTCAAGCTGTGACCCAACTACCTCAAGCTGTGGTCACACTGCCTCAAGCTGTGGTCACACTACCTCAAGCTGTGATCACACTACCTCAAGCTGTGATCACACTCCCTCAAGCTGTGATCACACTCCCTCAAGCTGTGGTCACACTACCTCAAGCTGTCACACTACCTCAAGCTGTAGCCACACTACCTCAAGCTGTGACCACACTACCTCAAGCTGGGGTCACACTGCCTAAGCTGTGACCACACTACCTCAATGTGATCACACACACTCAAGCTGTGGTCACACTATCTCAAGCTGTGACCACACTACCTCAAGCTGTGGTCACCCTACCTCAAGCTGTGATCACACATCCTCAAGCTGTGGTCACACTACCTCAAGCTGTGACCACACTCCCTCAAGCTGTGGTCACACTACCTCAAGCTGTGATCACACTACCTCAAGCTGTGATCACATTATCTCAAGCTGTGATCACACTACCTCAAGCTGTGATCACACTACCTCAAGCTGTGATCACACCTCAGGCCACACCTCCCCAATCTGTGATCACACTCCCTCAAGCTGTGATCACATTCCTCAAGCTGTGATCACCTCCCCAATCTGTGACCACACTGCCTCAAGCTGTGATCACACTACCTCAAGCTGTGATCACACTCCCTCAAGCTGTGATCACACTCCCCCAAGCTGTGATCACACTAGGTTAGGTTAGGTTAAGCTCCCTGCAGGACAAGAAGGGGCAGCACGTACAGTATATTTACACGTGTAGGAAGGTTCTTTGTGCCACGCGACGGTAAACAAACCTCCCCTTGTTCCTCAACCTGCCTCCAGAATGCACCTTTTTATACATTCTTTAAGTCCAGGTGATGGTTTAACCTCCCCTTGCAGGTGAGTCAGGTGTCTGTCTGTGTGAGTGAGGGCAACAAGTGTGTGTATGTGTGGGGGGGGGGGTTACAACAGGTGTGTGGTGAGAGGAAGGACTACGAATGAATGGTGGAAAATCCATAAAATACTACTACTACTGTACTACTACTACTACTACTACTACTACTACTACTACTACTACTAATATGTAATTTGTGGTTGTGGTGTGTGGTTGGTGTTGTTGTTGTGTATTGGTGTGTGTGTTGGTTGGGGTGGTGGTGTGTGGTGGTGGGGTGGGTGTGTGGTGGTGTGGTGTTGGGGTGGGTGGGGTGGTGTGTGGTGTGGTGTGGTGGTGGTGGTGTGTGTGTGTGTGTGTGTGTGTGGTGTGTGTGTGTGTGTGATAATAGTAATAATAATAACAACAATAATAATAATAATAATAATAATAATAATAATAATAATAATAATAATAATAATAATAATAATAATATAACAATAATAATAATAATAATAATAATAATAATAATAATAATAATAATAATAATAATAACAACAACAACAATAATAATAATAATAATAATAATAATAATAATAATAACAATAATAATAATAATAATAATAATAATAATAACAACAATAATAATAATAATAATAATAATAATAATAACAACAATAATAACCCCACGTCCTCTGCCTTCCACCATTTTCCTCTCCCTCCATCTCCGTCAACCCCCCCTCCCCCCCCTCCACCAGTCCCATTCATTCCCTGTCGTAGTAGAAGAGCGCCATTAAAATGGGGGTGGCCATTAAATAAGGGGTTGGCTATTAAAAATAAGGGTGGCAATTAAAATAAGGGGTTGGCCATTAAAATAAGAGTATGGCCATTAAATAAGGGGTGGCCATTAAATAAGGGGTAGCCATTAAAATATAAATTGTAGCCGTTAAAATAAGGGGTGGCCGTTAAAATAGAAGTGGCCATTAAAATAAGGGGTATCCGTGAAAATAAGGAATTGGCCATTAAAATAAGAGGTATGGCCATTAAATAAGGAGGTGGCCATTAAATAAGGGGTAGGCATTGAAATAATGGTGTGGCCATTGAAATAAGGGCCATTAAAATAGGAGGAGTGTCTATTAAAATAAGACAGTGGCCATTAAAATAAGGTTGGCCATTAAAATAAGGGTGGCCATTAAAATAAAGAAATTGGCCATTAAAATAAGAGGTGGCTATTAGATTTCACGTGTTTATAATAATGGTACTGTTAATTTTTTTTCTCTCTCTCACGCTTGCTCTATCACACAGACAGACAAACAGACAGAGAGATCAGAGAAGACAAAGACAGCGGCGAGGGCGGGACAGGTGCGGGGAGATCTGGCTCAGGTGCGGGAAGGTCTGGCTCAGGTAGACAAGGCACACCGCCACATTCACCTGCTCTTACTTCGTCAACAACCAAATATTTGCTGCTCCTGCCCTCCTCTCTCTCTCTCTCTCTCTCTGTTCTGACCTTCCATCTCTCCCCCCATTCCCCCTCCACCGTCTCCCTTCCCCTCCCCACCCCCTCCTCCCCACCCACCCTACCGCCAGCCCTCCCTACCGTAAGTGTGTTCGTCTTTCTGCATGCCTTAAGCTCTCACCTCCACAGCATCGCTTCAACAGCACGCCGCCACACAAACACAGACAGCCAGTCGCCCCCTCATCATTATACGATTAGTTATATCAATTCAATGAGGTTATGGCACTGTGATGGTGGTGTATAGTGCCACATAAGAACAGCACTGAGGGAGGATGGTGGTGTATAGTGCCACATAGAACAGCACTGTGGATGGTGGTGTATAGTGCCATAAGAACAGCACTGTGGATGGTGGTGTATAGTGCCACATAAGAACAGCAATGAGGGAGGATGAGTGGTGTATGAGTGCCACATAAGAAGAGTACTGTGGAGGATGGTGGTGTATAGTGCCACATAGAACAGCACTGTGGAGGATGGTGGTGTATAGTGCCACATAAGAACAGCACTGTAGATGGTGGTGTATAGTGCCACATAAGAACATGTGGGAGGATGGTGGTGTATAATTGCCACATAAGAACAGCACTGTGGATGGTGGTGTATAGTGCCACATAAGAACAGCACTGTGGATGGTGGTGTATAGTGCACATAAGAACAACACTGTGAGAGGGTGGTGGTGTATAGTGCCACCTCAGAACAGCACTGGAGGGGGGTCAGGTGGTGTATAGTGCCACATAGAAAAAGCACTGTAGATGGTGGTGTATAGTGCCATAAGAACAGCACTGTGGAGGATGGTGGTGTATAGTGCCACATAAGAGAAGAGTGCACATGGAGGATGGTGGTGTATAGTGCACATAAGAACAGCACTGTGGAGGATGGTGGTGTATGTGTACATAAGAACAGCACTGTATATGGAGGATGGTGGTGTATAGTGCCACATAAGAACAGCATTGTGGAGGATGGTGGTGTATAGTGCCACATAAGAACAGCACTGTGGAGAATGTGGTGTATAATGCCACATAAGAACAGCACTGTGGAGGATGAGTGGTGTATAGTGCTTACATAAGAACAGCATTGTGGAGGATGGTGGTGTATAGTGCCACATAAGAACAGCACTGTGGAGGATGGTGGTGTATAGTGCTACATAAGAACAGCACTGTGGAGGATAGTGGTGTATATAGTGCCACATAAGAACAGCAGCACTGAGGGAGGATGGTGGTGTATAGTGCCACATAAGAACAGCACTGTGGAGGATGGTGGTGTATAGTGCCACATAAGAACAGCACTGTGTGGAATATGTTGGTGTATGAGTGCCACATAGAACAGCACACTGTGGATGGTGGTGTATAGTGCCACATAGAACAACTGTGGATGAGTGGTGTATAGTGCCACATAAGAACAACTTACTGTATGGAGATGGTGGTGTATAGTGCTACATAGAACAGCACTGAGAGGATGGTGGTGTATAGTGCCACATAAGAACAGCACTGTGGAGGATGGTGGTGTATAGTGCCACATAAGAACAGCACTGTGGAGGATGGTGGTGTAGTGCCCACATAAGAGGGGCAGCACTGGGGGATGGTGGTGTATAGTGCCACATAAGAGAGCAACACACATGGATGATGGTGTATAGTGCCACATAAGAACCTTAGCACTGAGGGGAGGATGGTGGTGTATAGTGCACATAAGAACAGCACTGTGTGGATGGTGGTGTGTAGTGCCACATAGAGCAGCACTGTGGATAGTGGTGTATAGTGCCACATAAGGACAGCACTGTATGGAGGATGTGGTGGTGTATGGTGCCACATAAGAAAGAGCACTGGAGGATGGTGGTGTATAGTGCCACATTAGAACAACACTGAGGAGGATGGTGCAAGGTGCCACATAAGAACAGCACTGTGGAGGATGTGGTGGTGTATGGTGCCACATAAGAACAACACTGTCGATGGTGGTGTGTAAAAGTGCTACATAAGAACAGCACTGTGAGGAGGATGGTGTATAGTGCCATAGAGAACAACGCAGGGAGGATGGTGGTGTACAGTATAAAGTGCCACATAAAGAGCAGCACTGAGGAGGATGTGGTGGTGCATAGTGCCACCTCTGGGGAACAGCACTGTGGATGGTGGTGTATAGTGCCACATAGAGAACAACACTGTGGATGGTGGTGTATAGTGCCACATAGAACCCCAGCACTGAGAGATGGTGGTGTATAGTGCCACATAAGAACACTTTGTCGATGGTGGTGTGCAGTACCCATAAGAACCTTACTGTGGAGGATGGTGGTGTATAGTGCCACATAAGAACAGCACTGTGGAGGATGGTGGTGTATAGTGCCACATAAGAACAGCACTGTCGATGGTGGTGTATAGTGCCACATAAGAACAACACTGTGGAGGATGGTGGTGTATAGTGCCACATAGAACAGCACTGTGGGATGGTGGTGTATAGTGCCATAAGAACAGCACTGTATGGAGGATGGTGGTGTATAGTGCCACATAAGAACAGCACTGTGGAGGAGATGGTGAGTGTATAGTGCCACATAAGAACAGCACTGTCGATGGTGGTGTATAGTGCCACATAAGAACAGCACTGTGGATGAGGTGGTGTATAGTGCCACATAAGAACAGCACTGAGGAGGATGAGAGGTGGTGTATGGTGCCACATAGAACAGCACTGTGGATGGTGGTGTAGTGCCACATAGAGCAGCACTGAGGAGGATGGTGCTGTATAGTGCCACATAAGAACAGCACTGAGGAGGATTTGTGGTGTATAGTGCCACACAAGAACAGCACTGTGGAGGATGGTGGTGTATAGTGCCACATAAGAACAGCACTGTGGATGGTGGTGTATAGTGCCACATAGAACAGCACCTAGCAGAAGAGGATAGTGGTGTATAGTGCCACATAGAACAGCACTCTGGAGGATGGTGGTGTATAGTGCCACATAAGAACAGCACTGAGGAGGATGGTGGTGTATAGTGCCACATAAGAACAGCATTGTGGAGGATGGTGATGCATAGTGCCACATAAGAAAAGAATAGTGGAGGATGGTGGTGTATAGTGCCACATAAGAACTGGCACTGTGGAGGATGGTGGTGTATAGTGCCATAAGAACAACACTGTGGAGGATAATTGCTTCCCATATAAGAACAGCACTGTGTGGAGGATGGTGGTGTATAGTGCCACATAAGAACAGCGCCATGGAGGATGGTGGTGTATACC